ACCCCGGCTGTGCGGGGGGGGGGTGGGGGGCTCCGCGGCTGCTGGAGGGTTTTGGGGGGCTTCTGGGGGGCTTCGGGGGAGCGGGAGCGCAGCAAGCTTTCACCCGCGCGTCTCTCGCCGCTTCCGAGCCTAACTGGTATCAGTGAAGCATTGTGATGCCTAACTGGTATCAGTGAAGCATTGTGATACCTAACTGGTATCAGTGAAGCATTGTTCACCTGATACCTATATATATTGGTGTTTCATTTTAATTGTGGAAAAACGTGGATTTGGGGGGGTTTAAGTCAGAGAATCTGGGATTTTTATTAGAGAATTTACAATTTTTAAATGGTGGAAACCAGGATCCCTGCTCATGAGTAACAGTTTGACCAGCCTCATTTCTGTTTACTTGCAAAACTGTCCCTGCCTTGCACTGTGAAGCCTCCACATACAGAACTTCCCAGTGCAGTTATATATGTTCCACATCAACCTTTCCAGTTTAGAAGATTTGCAGGGTTTATGTTGGAAATAATCTCCAGGACAGTATAAATTCTTGGACTAGCCATGGAACAAGCTATTCACTACAAGCATGTACATGAGCTAATTTCCCACTGTTTCTGTAATTACGCAAACTTTTTAAAAAAAACATTTTTCCTTGTTCTGTCCTTTTTCCTCACTAGATTTTGGGGAACTGAGCAAAAAGTTGGCAGAAGTCTGGAAGCAGCTACCTGAGAAGGATAAACTGGTAAGCGTAGCCATGACAGCAGTCTTACATAGGGTTTAGATTATGATTTGTATAGGATGGTTTGGATAGGGATTAGGCCTGTGTGAAGCGGCTAGTATTTGCTTTGGATTCGGCCGATTCGGGGGACAGTGATTCAATTCGGTGATTCAAATCACTGTCTCAAATCGATTCACTCGAATCACACAGGCCCATCCCCCGCCTGCTGTCCCAGCCCTGGCAATGGCTGCCCTGCCCACCCCACCTCCATCACTGGGTGCTGGGGCGGGGAGGATTCCCGCTGCGCTGTGCTGCGCTGCACTGCGTGAGGGGGCTCTGCAGGAGCCCCCTGACACCCCCAACTTCCCCAACCGTCCCCAAGTCTGTCCCAGCTTTAAGAAAAACAACCCAGACTCACCAGTTCCTGCCTGGTGGGGGAGCGATCCTTGCTGCCCCATGCTGCGTGGGGGCTCTGGTGGGGCAGTGGGGGGGGGGCAGCAGGGATCACCCCCCGCCTGGCAGCACCCAGTGAGTAGGGGGGTTTTTTGTTTGTTTGTTTGTTTGGTTGGTTTTTTTAAACAACCAGAAGCTGGGGCCGGGTGGGGCAGCCCTGGGAGAGGGCTTGGGGAGCAGGCAGGGGATAGGGCCTGACAAGGGTCCCCCCATGGTCTCCTCCCCCCTTCTCCAGCCCCCCCTCCCCCACCCCGTACTTACCAGCTCTGAATCCAGGTCCAGCTCCCTGCTGCAGCAGGCAGGGAGTGCCCAAATCACTGAAGCGCTCTGAATATTTTCCAAATTGATTCAGACCTTTTAATTGGTCCCCAGATTTGATTTGGATTTGGAGATTCGGCCACCAAATTGGCCCGAATCTCCTCAGAATCGAATCAGTACCCAAAGCTTCACACCGCCCTAATAGGGATGATCTTCCCTCAGGCAGGGGGTTGGACTAGATGACCCTGGAGGTCCCTTCCAGCTCTGCTTCGGTATAAGTCTATAAGAAGATTTTTATTTTTTTTTTTCTAAAATACTTTGTATGAATCAGTTGCCTGCATGCTCTTGTTGCAACTGCCACCTTCATACATACAAAAGGCAGCCCCCTACAGGCTGGAACTGAGCAATCTTAAACACCCTCATCTCCTTCCCCCCCCAAATCACACACAGATGTCTAGTTCCTGTTCATGAAAAATGCTTGGCTGGTCACCTATCCATAAAGTTGCCTCTCGCATTCCAGTTCTGGCAGCAGGATTGCCTAACAGTTTGAATCTTGCTTTGTTTTTTATCATGTTCTGTGAAGAGTTGGAAGCAGAAAGCTCAATATCTGCAGCACAAGCAAAATAAAGCAGAGGCCACAACAGTGAAGAGGAAGGCAACCTCGTCAGAGGGTGCCCCAAAAGTGAAAGGTAGTAGCTACGTTTGCCCAGGTCTTGGGGGTAGGGGAGAGCAAACAACTATGTACTCGGTTAAGAGCAAGCACCCCTTGTGCTCCTTTTCTCTTCTAGCTTTCTACTCATCAGTTCTGTTTCCATGCTTGATCCATCATGTTACCGAGAATAATCCCTGTAGGATAAGAAATGGCATCGGCAGAGTTGAAAAGGATATCCTGTTTGTTTCTTAGCTACAAAGATCGTGGTGTTAAACCACCATGATTAATTTTAAAAGATGTAAAGCAAGGCGTAACAGGTGGAAGCTCTGAGTAGGGACTAGATGCTGGAATTAAAAAATGCATGATTAGCTTAGCATCGGTGTTAAATCAAAGAATTTTCCACCATCACCACTAAGTATTAATATTACCACCAATACTACCACTAAGTATTAATATTAATACTTCACCCAGAAGTGGAATATGTGCTTTTTATGTGTATATGTAAAGTCCTGACTAAAGAGCTTGCATCCTCAATAGACTTGTTATAAGGAAGGGAGAGAAAAAAACCCAGGGTTTTTTTGTATCCATCTGTTTTCAGCTTCTCCGACAGGAGTACTTTCACCCCATAAGAAGTCGCCCTCCAGTACTGTGGTATTATCCTCTTCACCAGCCAAAGTCCCTGAGACGGAGCCCATTGACGTAGCTGCACATCTACAATTGCTGGGTGAATCTCTGAGCCTTATTGGACACAGGCTGCAGGAGACAGAGGTGAGTACAGGTGCCATTATAGAAGCAGGGGAGAGGTGTCCCATGTTAGCCCAAGTTAGCCAAAGTTCTTTTAGTATAAAGAGAAATTACAGATGGAGTCAGTTATTTCTTTGTTGTGTCCCTGTTTATTAACAAAGGATATAGTAAGTTCTTTTTCCTGGAACCCAGCAGGCACCAAACATCTGGTAACACTTTCTTTGCTGGCAGACCCAAGCTATTGCTGCCAGCACTCAGGCCAAACACCTTCAGCTTTCTAAGGACATGTTCAGACAACGTTATCTTTCTCATTGCCTTTTTTAACATGTAGTCTTCTGCGTTTCAAAGCTTTAGTGGGCTGAATAGGTGACAGTATCCTCTCATCCCACGGTCCTGCATACCATATGCTTTTATTGCCAATAAAACAAATGTGCATGAACTCCTTTTTTTTTCTAGTGATGACAATTGAGATATTACTGCAAGGGAGCTGTTCACTCTGTTCTAACAATCAAAGGCTCTTCTTTCACAGGAAGCTGCGCAAAAGTAATTCTCCACCCAGAAATCCCTTACATTAGTGCAGCCCTAGCTACAGTCTTAATTCCTTGAGTTCAGGGAGACAGCGTTTTCCAGGACATTTCATGTTTTGTTTGAGGTTTAAATATGTATTACCATACTAGGTGATGGAAAACAATTATCCAAATGTATCCAATTTCAAGACAACTTCAAAAACATGTATGAAATGCTTGGCATGAGGTAGTAACTACACAAATAGAATAGGTAGATTAGAGAAGCTCAGGAGCAAGTCCTTAATATTTGCAAGAGAAGAGGTTATAGTGTGGTGAGATTTAATCTCTGCTGTTCTTTTCCATTCAGTTTGATCCTCCTTTATTCTTTCCAGGGGATGGTGGCTGTTTCAGGAAGTTTGTCAGTGCTTTTAGATTCTATTATCTGTGCTCTGGGCCCTTTAACATGTTTGACCACACAACTGCCTGAGCTGAATGGCTGCCCCAAGCAAGTTTTGGTGAGTTCCATGTGATTCTTATTTTGGTTCTAGACTTACTTATTTTTATGGGAAGAGAGTTAAAGTACTGATTGGCAGAGCTTTGTGACACTGAGTCTCCAGTGCAGAAAACTTCATGCTAGGGCACTATTATTGTGGGAGGGATGTATGAGAGAATTCTCTGACAAGGCATTGCCTAATGATTTTTCAGTGAAAGCTGTGGAAATGCTAACCAGTCAAGGGAAGCTGGTCTTTTTTTAATCCATTTATTACAGTAGCTGTAGCTTCTATTTCTGAGTGACTGAAACTCTCAATCTCAAGCAGATAAAGCAACTATGCATACTAGACATTTTAATACAAGTTTGCAATAAGAATTTACAGGCCCTACAGCTGGTCTGTACACCCACCTGTTAAATTTTTTTGGTCATGTATGCATTGTTCCTGTGACCTGCAATTAAGCACATGGCTCCTAACAGTGAGGGGTGGCACTGAACACCTTCAAAGATAAACTCTTTCTTGTCCATCTATAGCCGGGTGCTAGCTGCATGTTCTCTCCTGCATGCCGGAAACACATTTGCTATTGAAACCTCATTTGGGAACAGACATCCTGCAGCTCCGGTATAGTGTGAATCCAAGTGAAAAAACAGAACATATTACATTAGCAGACAGGGCGATTTAAAAGACCACATTAGGAGGAGACATGAATAAAAAGAAGGACTGAAAGAAGAATGAAAAATGAAGTCACGAGAAGCAAAATGTGTAGAACAAAGTAAAGGGAAATCATGTCTGATGCAAGAGAAAAGAATAGCAATACAAATGTGAAGAAAGCAGTGGATGTGACATGAACAGGCATGTTTTACAAAGGTTCTGCCATGAAGTCCCATGCTGGCTATTGGCATATCTTCTAATAAACTGAGTCACCTGAGTACTCCTGCCTGCTCAAGTTATGACTACTTTACTATTGGGCATTTTTTCTTGTACTGCTTTCCCTTGCCCAAAGCATTATGAGCTCTGACACCCTTCTAGCATCATTAATGCAGTGTATGACTTGACAGCTTGATCCTCTTATTTCTGTAAAGAGTTAGGGAGTGTTAGAAGAGGTAGTGCTAATTTTTCACTTCTGGAGCTTGGATAACTTGTCTGAAATTAGCAGATTAATTTTAATATCAAGAATTCATCTACATCTGTAACTCTCTTGTCCCCAAAGCAGGCTAGATGTGTCTGTGCTTGTGGCGCAGTTTACCTTTTCAGTTAATAGGTGGTGCTGCTAAATTGTAGGATCAATCAAGAAACTGGCAAAGAATCCATTTCCTCTGTCTTTGAGTATGAACTTTGGGAGTGCAGCATGCCAGGAATCAGACCTTAGTTGTATGGTCTTCACTGAGGCACATGGGACTGTATTGTCCTTCAAACTTCCACCTGATTTGTATAGAAACTCTAGGAACACAGAGAAACTCTCCCACCTTACATCTGAAACGGATTATGGTGGTTTACTTGTTCTGTTTAGCTTAACACATTGCAAATTCTAGCAAAGGTTTTGTATGTGCGTTTGGGACTTCGTTGGTATCCCTTCCATCACCTTAATTGGATCCCTTATCGCTGTTTTCCCTCTGGATAATATGGTTTGGATATGGATTTCTTCTGAGTTTCTTCACACTAGTTCTAGGACCAGTTACACAGGGTAAGGGAGGCACTTAAGAACAACAGGAAGTGTTCCCTTAATTCTAGATGCCCCTGTTGTGCTCCCAGGCATTGAGATTGCAAGCAGACTGAGCAGTAGACAGAGTATTTCCATGACTGCTGGTTAGCCTAGAGCAGGGGTTCCCAACCTTTTTATGCCGAGGACCAGCAAACTGTGGACCATAAGTGACCAGCATACTGCAGGCAGGCAGCCAACCCTTTTTTATACTGAATACTGTACTGAATACAGTATAAAAAAGGGTTGGCTGCCAGGCCACAGTATGCAGGTCATGTCCAGTCGGCAGTTTGCTGGTCTGTAGTCACTTCCAGTCTGGCAGCCAGCCCACCTGCAGACTGGCAGCCGACCCTTCATGGCCCAGCACCAGGTTGCGACCCGGGGGTTGGGAACCCCTGGCCTAGAGTGCTGGTGACTTCTGACTTGGGTTGGTCTCGTCATGTAGGAGCTTGTATGACAAGGCTGGGATTTCTCCAGTCTATTGTGTTATATTAAAGCATTGTTTCTGTAGCTTTTTGAGTCAGAGCCCATTTTTAAAAAGAATATTACATGTTCTCTTCCCAGTCAAACACACTCGACAACATCGCCTACATCATGCCTGGACTTTGACAGAAGAGGACCCTGGGATGTACACACCTCTGTGTAACTGACCTGTGTACATACACATTATACTGGCACTCTAAGGGCTCCGTGTGTAGGGTTTTAAAGTTTTATATTTGTATAGTATATACATAGGATTGTAACTATTTTACTTTTATTAATTTTATGAAAAGTTGTGAAGTATAAGCTGAGAGAATCCTTTCCAATTTGGTGGGAGTGACCTGCTCAATGCATTCTCCAATCTAAAGGCGTTTGTGTGATTAGACGTCAGAAAGCTTTTGATATATCAGCCTTAAATTCAAAGAAACCTTTTATTTGGAATTGGCCTGGGAACTGACTGTTTATCCATGATGGATAGACAAGCTAGTTTATTTTGGACCAAGCAGTAGCACTTGACACATCACCAGCCCTGTTTCTAACACTTTTTCAGTCTGTGGGAGAAAACAGGATGCCTGTTGAAATCCTGAGGTTACCACCTCTGGTCACCTCTCCTCTCCACTCTTCTTTCCCATCCCCCCAAGCCAGTCACAAGTGACTGAAAGTTTTTCTTGTCAATTGGCTGGTAGCTTGCATTAAAGTAGTCCTGGAGATGGCAAGGAATCTAGACTCTTCCAGTGGGCATGCATCTACATTGCCATTAGCTCAAGATTGCATCCTCAGCAGAGGGCCAAAGATTGAATTTGGGATTATGGAAGACTGAACGTCCCTTGAATTCCTCCAGAGCAGGGCTAGCCCACTCTGGCAAGGAAGAAGCAGTTAGAGGAGGAAAAAGCTTGCACTGCCCCTGCCCGTGTACTGGTTTTATGAGTAGAAGACTTTTAGTTTCTAAGATTGCTGATCCCATCCCTTTCACCAGCAGTATTATGAAGAGGCATGGAATCCTCTTGGTGCTGCTGTATTCTCCAGAGGAAGTAATTAATGCTAAAGATTGAAGGAGTTATTGCTGTGTGGCACAGATGGGTTCATTGGACAGATCCCTGCTCCCCACAGCCACATGTTGGCATTCCAAGCTCCTGGTCCTCCAATGTGAGTTGCAGGAAAGCACTTGATTCTCACATAGGCTTGTGTGTATGTGTGCGTGGTGTCCATATTGTGTATTTAACTTTTACCAATATCTATAATAGATTTTAATTTATCCTGTATATTTCTGTGTATATAGATATAATTTAAAAACAAAAGTCCTTCCCTCCACCAAGTGTGTGGGAAAATATGAATCAGCTGTGCCCATCCCTAGTTCCTGCAGGAATAAGCTGCACCTGTTGTGGCAAAGCTAGGCTCTGCAAGGGGGAATAGCAGCCAACAAAACTTTGAGCCCTTGTGGCCAACAGGGTGTCCAGTGATGTTGGGTGGAAGCTGAAATGGGAAGCCTTTTATTTTGGCTTTGGCCTCTCCCTCCATTATAACATTACAGATTTTAAAGTAGCAGAATCAGAGCACTTCTGTGCTGTTACAAATTGTGCTTTCTTCTCTCTTTTCCAGGGCAGCTGAAAATGAGCTGTTCCTCATTATTGCTGAGACCTAAATCTATTGCATTTTAAAGCCAATCTTCAGGTGCCTGGAAGGGGCTTCCTGCCAGTTTCCCTCCCAGCTACTGTCTCTTGCAGGGCTTCCCCTTTTCCCAGTTCAGTGTTGTTTTTATTTGTCTATCAGAAGGGCTGGTTTGGTGGATGGAACAGAGGACTCTCTCAGAACCTCGGTATAAGGCAGAAATCTCTCACCCAGATATGGCTAATTTGAAGCAGAATTTGAGGGAGCTTGGAGATATGGGAAAGTCTGTCTGGCTTCTGGATCTGGACATTTACCATGGTTCTTGCAAGTGGCATAAAATGCTTGGCTCCATTTCCAGCTCTCCACAAGAGATGGAGTATTGTATCGAAGGAAAAGATTTGCAGATCTCTATCTAAGGAACAAAAGGGGATCAGCTTTAGCTTTACCATCTGTATAACAGTAAACTCTTGAAGAGTTTAGAAACACACACACAACCCTAATGTATTGTATTTTTATTTAAAATTTGTACACATTTGTATAATCTGTATCTTGTGGTATTTGGTACTAGAGGGAAAAACTTTGGACTGAGAACTAGCAGTTTTATATTTTTGTTATTTTCCTGCCATTTGATCCAGATTGCATTACAATTGTATAAAGAAACTTTTTGTACTGTACTTACAATATAATTTTTTTTAACATTTGGAGTTTTGTGTCATTTATTTTTTTGCTTGGTATTTGTAATTTGCTGGTTGTCACTTCCCTCACTACTCTAGCTGTCCTAGCATTTCGTTTTATGGAATGAAATGTCTCTGGTATTTGAAATCTAGACCCATCCTGTGGTTCTTGGCTGGGTACTTCAGTGTCTTATTTCTAATGAAAGGCTGCTTGAAATACAACTTGGAGATTACTGAGTTGTACCATTTAGCAGCCTCAGTAAAAGACCTGCATGACTACAGAGGGTTGTCACTTAAATGCCCTAGTACCAGGTTATCTGCCTGCCCCTCTTCTTGTTTACCATTCAGTGAATGGCAGGCAAAATGATAAAAGTGTTTCGGGATCCCTCAGCAATGGCAGGATCACATCTTGTAATACTCTTTCAAAACACCCTATTTTCAAGAGCAGAGAGACTCAGTTATAGGCTCAAAACTTGTGTGTAGCAATGTCCCAATATATGATGATCATGCAAAATGCGATTCCTCACCAACTCAAGTTGCACTTTTTGTAAGGAGACATTTCAACACAAGTTCAAAGGAAAATAACGTTAGAACCAGGAAACACCTACCCACAACCATTTCAACACATTTAAGCAGTAGTTTTCCTGGAATTCTACGTTGTACGGAATACAGACTTTCAGGCCCCATTTCAAGCTCACCTCATGCAACATGCTTGTTTACTACTTAGACATGGTATCAGCTTATTTGAAACCATGGAAGTAGGGGTCTTAGGCTCGCTAGTGCAGTTGCCATTGCAAAAATGGTAGCTCTTTCATTGCTTTTTCATTGCCCTATCCCCACTATTGTGACCACAACAGAGCTAACAAGCCAGGCTGATCACAGAGGCAGAAGAACCAGTGTTCAGTCCATCTTACAGAGGCTGCAGCGTGAGCTAACACAATCTGCACAAATGGAAGCAATGTGGAATTGGACTTTGCCATTTGGAGTAGGCAGCTTTGTCAAAATGAGGATTGGTACTTGGGTAATGGCCTTGTTGCTCTTAACAGACCTATTACACGTGCAACATTACAGCAAGGGGCACATTTTCTGGAAGTTCTTACTGGTGGTGTTGCAACTTGCAGTATTTCTCCTATGGAAGAATGCTAGAGGGAAAGGGGTTTTTTTGTTGCTGGTCCCTTCCTGCCAAGGATTCGCAAGTAGAGGTGACAACTGGTACTGTTAAGGAGGTGTGGTGGAGGGGGATGGTACTACCAATATGTGGGCCATGGTGGGAAGGGGTGTAAAGGCCATATCCTCTCTTGCCTGAGATTTCCCAGTGGCCAGAGAAAAGGCTATGATGACACATTGAAGGCACACCCTAAGCAAATAGATGCTGACATCAAGAGCCCCAGCTGACTGTCAAATGGAGCTGACTGTCAACTGATTCCTCAGCCTCAACCAAGCACTAGTCTGTTTCGATGGAAGAGAGGGAGTGGGGGAAGGAAAAGGAGGAGAGGAATCCTAGCCTGCAGCCTCCTCTCAGCTGCTGAAAGGCCTGCGCTGACTGTAGTTGACTCTGTGGCTCAAAGACCAGACTCTGCAAGCAGCTTGGGCTCCACAGCAGAGGCCTGCCCAGAGCTGGGGCCAACTGAACAAAATGGCTTTGCGTGCCGTGCTCTGGCACACGTGCCAGGGGTTGCAAACTGCTAGACTAGATGATCTCTTAAGATCCTTTTCAGCTTTACTTCTCTCTGTCATCTGTCTCCTGGGAACAGTGTTACCAGGTCTTAAATATGAAAATATTGTATTGGAAGCTCAAAATGATTGTATTTTCAGAAAAACTGTCATACACTGAAAAAAATTAAGTATACAACTAAGTAACATCATGTTGCCTTATACTAGGGGCAAGCAGTTATTTTGGGCAGAGGGCCGCTTACTGAGTTTTGGCAGGCAATCGAGGGCCGCATGACAGGCAGCCCAGGGCAGATTAATATTAATTTTCAAAATTTTTTAGGGGCCCCACGGGTTGGATAGAATGGCCTGGCAGGCCACGTCCAGCTCCCGGGCCACATTTTGCCCACCCCTGCCTTATACTGGTATCATCGCATCCTGCACTGCATTTGACACTATGACATTTTGTTTAACTCTTTCTCCAACTGGTTAAACTGAATTGATTGCTATGATTAGTCTTTTCTCTCAGTTTTGTGTTTCAGGTCTATGTATTGTAAATTGTTCTGCAGTTACTTTATATTGCTCACTGGAAGTCCCCAGTGAGTGAGAACTGGGTCATCAAAATTGAAGTTTTGAGGCAAGCAGGCATAAGCAATTGCTGACCGTGAACCCAGAAGTTGGTTAAGATTCCCTGAGCGCAGGGTTGCCAACAGTTTGGATCTATTCTGGGAGGCTTTTGAAACGCCAACATGCCCACAACACAACACGCATTTGCCCGCATGCTTGTGTATGTCAATTATGGATTACGGTGTGTAGATTTTACATCAGGAAGGCAAATGCACATGACTAGTACATTTTAAAATCCCACTGTATAAATTGGATTCAATACTTTAACGAATGCCCTATCATTTATCTCCTGGGTGACTCTCAGCAGTGTCCTGGAGATTCGTGTCCAATTCCTGGGGACTCCAGAGCAATCCTGGAGGGTTGGCAACCCTACCGGAGAGTGACTTGCATTTTATAGATGCTGCATCAATTAACTGCATCAAAAGCTATTGCACATTTTGTCAGGTATCCTGGTCGTAGCCCGATTGGTCTAGAGGCAAAAGGAATCAAAACTCGTGGAAGAGGTGATATCTTTTATTAGGCCAGCTAGATATGTGCAAATAAATACATTTTGAACACTTTTCACCATCGGCGATGCGTAGGGGTACACATGCACCCCCTGAGATTAGCGGCGCACTCCCCTGAAAGAAGCGCTGTCAGCAGTGACTGTAGGCCGTGCTCACCATGCCCCCCAGCCCTCTGGGCTAGCCAATCAGGGCTGCCCCCTGCAGGCTGCCATCTGTTGCCAGGCCCACTAAGGGAGCCTGCAGAGTAAGGAAATATGCAGCCCTGCCCCATCGGGCCCCTCCCTGCCCATAAAGGGAGCCGGGAAGTGCCACGCGGCTGTGACGTCACGGCGGGCGCAGTGGCGTCACCACCACGCTTAAGGCGAGCGGAGAACGTACTCAAGCGGGGTTCCGCCCTCCAGCCAATCACAAGCGGCCGCCGCTGACGTCACC